TGGCTTGATGAGCAAATAATTAAGTTAATAAAGTAGGACTATCTTTTCATTGAATGAATTGCAAATAGTAAAGAGAAATCACATTTATGGAACATAAAGGAAAGGTCTCAAGATTTCCTGTGCAATAAGCATTCTTGCAGGCAGACCTGGGCCAAAGTAAATAACTAGTGTTAGTTCAGATTGCTTAGACGTGAATGAAAATTCCAGCATCACACAGCCTGCTGGAATGGCACATCCTATTGGTTTACAGTCAAAGTGTTCTATGAAGAAAATACTTCACACCCGAGAAGGCTGCTGTGGGGTTCACTAAGCGATGTAATATATTTCTTATTCATCAATCCTCCTACCCTTGCCAAATGCTTACTAGACATACCAAGAAAGAGTGGATTTTTTTTTTAAGGTAATTGTAACAAATGGGCTTCCTCAGAAGTGAAAATTACTCATCTAGGAAAGGAAAAACATTACCTTTTTAAAATCTACCCACCTCTTTTATCAAATATACCCCATCGTAATAAAAAATAACTTTCCAGATGTTTGTATTATCATTAAATATTCCTAAACATCTTTTAGAAAATAACTTACTTTTTAAAAAATGTTATTACTTTATTTATACTCTTAATGGTTTATAAATAAAGTATTTATCTAGACAGTGACATTAAAACTCATTTTCAAGTAATAAACAAAAATGATTCAGTACAACAGTTCCTAAACTCTCACCACACCTCCAGTTTGTCACCAAGGCAAGGAGGTCCTACTGTAACACTTCCCACTAGAAGCAGACTCCTCCCGGAAAACGCTGAGGTGGGAGCACTCTGCTCCCTGCTCCACCCTTACACACCGCTGGGTCTATATGGTAATACTTACTAATCCCTAAGACTGTCAACTCTTTGGCTGAAGCTATAATTCGGCGAATGGAAGAAAAACTACTCTAGTATGGTGGGAAAGGGTCAAAACACAACAAACTGAATTTCTATCAACATAAACATTTATGTCACCAGGAAAGAAGCCTGATATCTTATTTGGCACTTTTAGACCAAGAACTTGTAAAATATGTATTTTTAAAAATATATTGTTATTGATTTTAGAGGAGGGGGGAAAGAGGGTGGAGAGGGAGAGAAGGAGTGGGAGAGCGAGAGCGAGAGCGAGAGCGAGAGAGAAAGAGAGAGAGAGAGAATCAATGCTGAGAGAAAATCACCAAAATTCCCGCATCCTGCATGTCCCTCACTGGGGATAGAGCCCACAACCCAGGCATGTGCACTGACCAGGAATTGAACTGTGACCTCCTGTTTCATAGGTAGATGCTCAACCATCAAACCATTCCAGCTAGGCAAATATGTTTTATTTTATAATAAATTTTCTTCAAGACTCACTCGATCATTCTAGATGACTGAAGTGAAGCATAGGATATACAATGCAAAATGGGGGGCGGGGAGATTAAGTGAAGTGAATTAAGTGGCAGTATGCACAAGTCCTTTTTCCAAGAATACTAAATAGAAATAATTTCTGGGATACCAACTAAGTTTTTATATGGTACAGGCATGGACATTCTATACCCCCAAAAAGCTTGTTTTAAATAAAGTTAAATACAATAAATGCTTTCTAATATCAAAGTAAAAGAATTGAAATTCACTAATGGGGAGGAAAGGGCAGGAAATCCTTTATTAATTCAGTAGGAAATAAATGCCTATTTATATTCAAGGAACTTTTTTTTTGTTCTCCCCCACTCTCTTAAGTCAATGTTACTAATGATTTCAAGGAAGTAATTTGTGAATAGAATCGGGGTCCAGTGAGTAATTTTAAAACCCAGGTGTTATATATGATAAATTAATCACCCATTCGCTATAATTTTTAAAACCTTTTTCTTAAGATTTTTGTGATACTGCTAATGTCAACAATTCAAACAAGTTTGAGAAGCAATTTGTAAGGTAATGAAGTGAATGAGAGAGAGAGAGAGAGAGAGAGAGAGAGAGAGAGAGAGAGAGAGAGAGAGAAATGTACAATGGCCATGGATTCCAACATCTTATAAAGACATCAAAGATGCTGCCAACAGTGGAGATACAGGAAAACATTTATTCAAAAGAAGCTGCCTGAAATTTTTCTAAAAACTCTTCTTTCTGTAGATAACACCTGATTTTGGCATTTGGTTATTTTTTAATAGTAAACATAAGGAATTTTTTTACAATACTGTAAAGGTGGCATGTGTTCGTTGCCACAATGAAACACTTCTATGCGGCATATCTCAGTAGTCTTTTGCTGTTCCACCCACTTAAAATAACTCGCTAGAAAAAACAAGTCACTTCCTCCTTGTCCTGCACAGAGAACACTGCACTGTGTGAGGCAGCTGGGAAGACTGCTGCATTTCACCTCTGAGCAGAAATAACTGGAGACTTGACTTCAGGGTTTCTGCTCAGGGGGAGAGAATGAGGCGGTTAGTTTAAATGCTAAGGGCAAAAAGAGGAGGTGCTCTCAGCCCACTGCCCACTCGGAAGCTAGAAGCTAGCCCTTCACTGGTGTATTTCCCCCTGAATGGAGGAAGACTAGGATTTGTGAATGTGTGTGCATGTATTCTGAATTGTATCCAGGCATGTCTGTGTAATGGGGGAAAAGAGAGGTCAAGGTGGTAATAGTGGTGAAGGATAGTAAAATCTGAGAAACTCCAAAAGTAGTATCCCAGAATCGAAGGATTTCTAATGACACAGTAGGAAAAGCAGAGTCTGATACAACAGAAATACCCTTATTCAAGTTTGGTGAAAAATTACATCCTTTAGAAAGCCTTAGAAACAACCATGGGCCAGGAATAATTTATGCTGCTCGAGAAGGAAGAAATATTGCTTCCCCCTATTACTACTAATGCAATATGCACGTGGAAGCTGGTGAGATGGAACAAACTGGTGACACAGTAAACGTTTATACTCACAAGGCGACCACAGTAGACAGATGATGGTAACACAAGATGGCTTTAAAAAATTCAGAGTGAACAAATAAAAAGTCTTTTGTTTAATAACTGAAACCCCCCTCCTTTATTGCTCATCCATTGTCCAGTTTGTTACTTTAAACATGTATTATTTATTTTAAAGTTCATATACTTTATCTTAATCCTCATAATAATCCTACAAAGTATTATTAACATTATACTAGAGATTAAAAAAAATACCCCAAGATTTAGAGATGTTGATCTACATGCCACTGAAGCTGCAGAGCTGTTTTAACCCAATACCGCCCCGTGAGTCTTGATGGGCGTGGGCCATAAGCAGTACTCCTTCAGGTTAAGAAGGATATTTGGAAAGTGTGATTTAGATCTGTGCTCCCCCAAAGTTTAGAGATTGAAGCCTTAACTTCCAGTATTTCAGAAGGTGATGTATTTGGGAATTGGGCTTTTAAAGAGGTGATTATGTTAAAATGAGGCCAGTAGAGAGTATAGTCCTTGATCCAATCTGACTGGTGTCCTGATAGGAAGAGGGAGCCAGCATACGGACACATCACAGGGGAAAGACCTTTTGAGGACACAGCGAGAGGGCAGCCATCGGCAAGCCAAGCAGAGAGTTCTCAAGACTGAAACCAACCATGATAACACCCTAGTTTTGGACTTCTAGTCTCCAGAAATTTCTGATGTGAAAGCCACCCAGGCTGTGGCATTTCGTTGTGGCAGCCCTAAGAAACTCAGATAGGGGCAGAGAAGAAGAGGTCATCAGGTGTAGTATCAAACACAGACTGCGTAAGTAACAGCAGCAACTCTGTTGTTCAAAACTGGCCTGAGGGTTGTTCCAGACGCTGGCCTTTCCTGGAAGCAGGAATGAGTTCCACCCCTGGGGGCACTGACAGATGGCGGCTATCCCTGCCAGGCACACTCCTTCCAGCCTATTCCCCTCACACCGCTGTGTCCACCTCTTCTCACTCCCCTTCACAGACCATGGCTGAAATGTTCCCACAAGGCCAACATACACACTCTAAGGAGCAAGGGACATGATAAATGAAAAGCATTTCAAAGCAGAGCCTGGTGTTGTTACCTCAGATCTTGCTAGAATAACATGACATTTATAAAAACACAGCCCACTCGGTATTTGGCACTGCTTGGGAATGAAGAATGTGGCCACTTAAGAACCTAGAAAGGCTGTCAGAGAAATCTCAAGCCAGAATTTCTTGTACAAACATTACCTATCCTTAAAAATTCTATAGTCTCCGCAATCAAGAAAATATCTCTACTTATTTACCAGTCTCCCTTTGCCTAAACGTAAAAATACATAAGCCATATATAAGAACAAGTGAAATGCTTAGGGCAGGCACATGGATGGAACAGCTCTGTGCATATGGTTAAAGCCTCAACACTGCCAGCCTTGGCCTGGATCACCTTCACACACACCCCCCCCCACACACACACACACACTCCTACACAGGACTCACACACCACCAATGCTGGCCACCCCAACACACACCCAGTCAGAGCTCACACACCACCAATTCTGGCCACCACCAATCCCAGCACACACTGAAGGGGATTATTTACGGATTGCTTTCTTAGATACCAGCCAAACAATGTTCCCGTTCACTTTGTCACCCACCTTCCATTATACAACATTCAACACCTGGGAGGATACACTCAGCCCCTACGGCATATACCAAGGATGAGCCGTCACCAAGGTGTTCTCCACAAGCAAAAAGGCCTTGCTAGCTTCCCTCTGAGGTCTGGGCCCTGAAAGACCAACTGTGGCACGTCTGAGTTTCACTCAGGACTGGTGCTTGCTATCTGCTGTGAGGTTCGGTCAGAATCCCAGGGCCCCACTGTCCTATACACATCTCGGCCTTCTGTGGGGAGCCGCTCACCTAAGCCTTACGTCTTGGAGCTGAAAACATGCTATGTGAGAAGCGCAGGATGAATGTTAGGTGACATTCATGCAACACAGGGGACCCCTCTCGGCTCCAGACCAGTGATTGCTCTAAATAAGCATGTACATTCACATGAACACAACCAGAACAGGAAGGAAGGCCCAGCATTTCCTTACCATGTGCCACCCAGCCATGTTTGCACTGGTCGCAAGTCCGCAGGTTAATCTTCCCCGGCTGAAAACATTCGCACGTGCAGTTTACCAGTGTGCATCGGATGGCCTGGAAAGGAAAGGAGGAAAAGGAGCGTCAGCATCTGTTCGAAGGCACATTTCTTCCACGTCTTACTAAGGAGCAACCATTTCCAGGTTTCAAGTCTTCATGTTGGAACGGGCCTGGAGAGCTTTGTGATACCATCAAAACCTCATAAAAACAAGATGCATTCACAAAGAGAGTATTTCATGTCATTCATGTGTAACCTTTAAATGAAAACCATAGAGTAGAAAAAGAATAAAGGATTACTTATCCAAAAAGATGCTGGTTTTTTTTTTTTTTTTAATGTTTTTATTGATTTCAGAGAGGAAGGGAGAGGGAGAGACAGACAGAAACATCAATGATAAGAGAGAACCATTGCCTGTACAACCCCCACTGAGGATTGAGCTCAAAACCCAGGCATGTGCCCTTGACTGGAATCAAACCCGGGACCCCAGTCCGCAGGCCAATGCTCAATCCACTGAGCCAATCCAGCAAGGGCAAGATGCTGGATTTGTAATACTGGGATCCCAAAGTGAAAACACACACACACACACACACACACACACACAAAAAAAAAACCCCCACATATTTCTGCTATTCCTGCTTAAGTTTATCCATTTGGCAGAAATGCAAAAAATATACATTCAAATATGATAATGTTCAAGTGAAATGTTGATGAAAGCAAAACAAAACACACAAATGTTAGTAGATTATTACTATTCTTCTGCTGAGTTCCACTTAAATACTTTGTTAAATCTTTCAGAGACATGGTGAAAGACACTCCCACTGGCCCAGTAAGACCTCGTATACTGTATACTTCCAGTATTATCTATCACTTCCCAATCCTTGTTTTCCCCCACTTGATATATTTATTCCACTTTCATTCCTATTTTGACAAATACAAAACAACTCCCCTCCTCCCATATTTTAGCGGTGATGTAAGAAAATAAGTCTAAATTTATTTTAAGAACAGAGGTAAAATATTATAGGAAAAGCCATTTATGGGAACATTTTATATCTGTAACAACCCAATTGTATCTTAGAAAACTGAAAAACACGCTAAAAAAATCTTTCATTTCTTTGCAAGTACTTGTAAAAAATCATCTCACCAATTTATATGATCAAGTGAATGCACAGAAAATTAGCATAAATGAAGTGTAACTTTTTTTATGGATAAAAACCTATACTTAAGAAGTGTGCTAAAGCTGACCTATGCTTCTAGACTACAGTTAATAAATGTATCTCATAGATTTCCTTCTAATTTGCATGGAAATTCTGAAGACAGAAGGGATTTAGTCCGATCATTCACAGATTAACAATCTACTGTAACTACCTGAACTGCCAGGAAAAGATCTCTCAGCAGCTTCACGTGTAATCAATGATTGCTGATTTGGGGGAAAGAGGGAGAGGGGGCAGAGGATCTACCTGCAACTGCAATTCTGTGCCTCCCAGCTCTGCACACTGGCACCCCTAGGTGCTCATCTTCCTGGAATCATCTGGAGCTCTACATGAACTGCCTCGTTTGTAACAGACAGGATTTGAGATTTCATTAATGTGATTGGACCAAATTCCACTTACAGAGACCAAGACTGAGCAGGCTTTTACTGTTCCCTATACTTTGGATCAGGCAAGTTTGAAATAGTTTTCTTTCACTAATGACTATTAATTCTATAGGCCCCTATTCCATTTCTGGTGTTAAAGACCTCTAAAGACTGCTTTCCTACGTCAATTCCTCCCCGAATATGCTCCTCTGTTACCACTAGGGAAATGCTGACCTGTATAATCTGCGTGATATTTCAGGGTCTCTCTTCCACTGTCAACAGTCCAAATGCACATTAGCTGGGTTGTCAGGCTTGGCTTTATGCATTAGTAACTAAAGGAATTCGTATTAAGAAATGACACCAAAGGAAATGCTAACTAAGCAAGAATAATACATGTATTTGTAGGTTACAAGGGGAAATGTTTCTCCCAAAATTCCTTATCTCAACTTCAGTAGTTACCAACTAAATGATATATTAGACCACCCGAGGTTAGACATTACTTCTTTAAATAACATGATCGTTAGTTAGCAAACAACTTGACCGAACTACAGTCAAAACAAAGCATTTTAGAGGGCAGTGTTTCTACGGAAAGCAAAGCACTTTGCAAACTATCCAATTATAAATTCAGATGTGGCAAGAATTTAGCATTAAAACATTTACATAATCTGAAGTATGATAACAAAAGCTTTCATAAATTCTAGGGCGGGCGGGGGACACAAACAAAACCCTGTGTTACCAAAATTAAAGTATGACCAATAAAAAGAGATGATTTCTCAAGGACTATATGTTAACCAACTCAGGCACAAAAGAGATACATATTTCAAAATAATTAACTTGATAATATTTAATTATTTTATTAAAATAGCCTAATTTTTCCTGGGGTTGAAAAGTGTACTTTTTAATTATAACTACTATACTCCGGACCTGAATAAATTAAAAAATTTTGGAATTGCTTTATTTTTATGTATACTTATTTATTCACTGGCTGAATCATGGATTCATTTACTCTAAACTCACTTCTAATTCAAATATTTTCTCTTCCTAAATAACTTTATATGTCTGGCACATTTGGAAATTAAACTTCTCAAATCATCATCTTTCTTTATAAATCCTACTTTTTTTGTACCTAAGCATACAAACATTGGAACACCTCAACTCCTCTTGTATATAAACACATAAGTACTAGAATATCCTTTTTGTATTTCTATGAATTCCAGAAGGTCTATTTGTTTTAAGTCCAGGTTTATATACACTACAATTGTTCCTTAAGGGAATTATATATATTTAAACAATATGGTCTAAATAAATATTTTGAGTAAGAGAATATTGTGGCTTCAAAGGAAGTTTTATTCTAAATAACATTTTTGAAACGACATAAAACTTTGACATACTATTTACTCACAATAAAATAGAACCAATGGGATCACTCGCCAACTTGCCCAGGACTTAAAAAAAAAATTATCAAAAAACTATCAAAGCCAGTTAAGCCTTGAAAAAAAATGTACATGCTTTAGAAAGAGACAGTTGGGAGAGCAGAAATAAGTGAGTTTTGATTTTTATGAGCACATCCATTTCTTTCTTCTTCCAGCTAACCTGTGAGTGCTGCCTACTCACCAATGGGCACGATGAACTATAGAAAACTCAGAGAGGATGATGAAGTGTCAGAAATGGGACACCAAAATAAGTACAGACTGTTTAGGCAGAATGTTTCCATACCTGCAGAGTACCCTGCAATCCTTTCCTCCATTCTCACATGACCAGGGTTCCCAACTCCCCACGAACAGTAACAGCAATAATAAACTTCCTTAAGCCCACAACGTATTAAAAGTAGTATTTCCTACCTTTACCATGGAGTTCTTGAAAGGGAAATCCATGCACCCAGCACCCAACTGCTTCCACTTCCTCACCGCCACCTACATGCTAATCTGGCAACTGGAATTCTGCAACTGAAACCTCTGCCTCCAAGAGGAATGTCCTCCTCACCTCTGGTCCCTCTTCTGGGCTCCTTGGCCTCCCAGACCTCAGAGCAGCTTGCAGCCCTCCCTTTCCTTCATAGAGACCAACTATCTGAGCGTTTCTGGCAGCCACTGCCCCGTCTCTCTCCACTGTAAATAAATACAGGTGCTTCCCATGACCAGGCTCTTCGCTTTTTAATTTGGCAATTCCATCCCCGCCTACGGCTTCAAATATCATCACTATGCAAAAACCATCCCATTAAAGCCGAGAACTATGTCAAGGGGCAGGAAATAGAAGGCAGAGTCCTTGTGCTCAAGGACTTTACGGTCAGAGTCTGTGGGCGGTGGGTTTAGAGGAGAGACCTAAGGGCAGGAGGAAGCCCTTAAACAGGTCTGAGAAGCACTGTCTCTCCCTTTTCACTCCTGTCTTTTATGCTATCAAACCAAAGGCAGGACTTTTTAAAATTTATGTTCAACAGTGAATGATTGGTGTTATTCATAACAGATTTACTGGATAATTGGCATTTTTCTAGATCCTGTGCTAAAAATCTTACAAACATTAACTTACTTAATCCTCCGAAAATACCATTAGGTTGGTACTATTATCCCCTTTTATTTCAAAAACAAAGAAACGGGGTGGAGGGTGGGAAGGGAGGGAGGAAGACCATTAAGTACCTTGTCTAACATTGCTCCGTAGTAAAGTCACAGGAGTCAGACACAGGTGTGTGTGAACAACCAGTCGCTATTATACACAATGACCACCAGGGAGCAGATGCTCAACAAAGAAGCTGCCCCCTGGTGGTCAGTGGGCTGCTTCCACTGGGGAGCACCACTCAGCCAGAAGCCAGGCTCACAGTTGGCGAGCGCACTGGTGGTGATGGGAGCCTCTCCTGCATCCACTGCAGGCGGGTGGTAAGGAGTGAGAGGTTTTTGATTGTGAGAGCCCCAGACTGTGAGAGGGATGTCTGACTGCAAGAGGGATGTTGAGGGGTGGCGGGGAAGGGGGGGGGGGAGGATTGGGCTTAAGCCAGCAAGTGGATATCCTCTGAAGGGTCCTGGACTGCAAGAGGATGCAGGCTGGGCTGAAGGACACCACCCCCACTAATCCCCCAGCAGCCAAGTGCAAGCATTTCATGCACAGGGCCTCTAATGGTGTTATAGTTAACATCTGTATGGTTATTTGATTAAGGTCTGTCTTCTCCTCTAAAATATAAACTCCATTAGGGCAGGGCAAAACACCCATTGGGCAAATAATAGTGCTTAAAGGTCCTTAAAGAAAAACACAGTTCTCTGAGTCCCTCTCCTTATCTGTCAAATGACAGTAACAATAACATCCCAAGAGTGTCAAAAGACTTAAATGAAATAATGAATATAAGGCATATGGCACTATGCCTAGCAATAGTAAAAGCTCAATATATAAAAACCATTTATGACCTCAAGAAACTTTCCACATATAATATTTGAATTAATTTTTCCTTATGATTATTCCCAATGTACTAAGTTTTTCCAATACCTTGTAAAATGCTTAACA